AATTAGAAACAAAGCAATAAATCTGCCATCTTTTTTTGTAAATGTCAGTAAGTGTAAAACCTCCTAGTCTTGATTACAAATACATATGACCTTAGCCAAAAGGCTGAGAAGTAATTACTATTCTATATCAGAATATACTATATATATATGTCTTTGTAATCAAGACGGGGGGGGGGGCGGGTCTTACACTTACTGTTGTTTAAACACAGACACACACATAAATATACACACTGAGATGCTTCTATTCATGAATGGTATTTCATTCTACAAGGGATTTTTTTTTCCTTTATGAAGATTAAAATAATGGCCAGTAGTTGTACATATGCATATAAAAACCACAAACAGATTCCACAAAGTATTTACATAGATCAAATGCAAAAATGTATTACTTGGGTCTTAAATATTTTCAAAGCAGATTTGACATAAGGAAACAAATGCATTTCTTTATAGTTACTAAAAATAATTGCTCACCTGGCACAATAATATCTCCAAACCCCAGTAATGAAAATGGCATTCCACACAATGTCAGAGCAGAGAATTGAAGTCTAGGAACCCTAATAACCACTGGTAACTGTAAAACAGTATTTTAAAATTCCACATAAATCTAATCTAAAGCATTTAAAAATTATAAGAAAGATTAAAATAATATTAGAATTATTTACTCATCTATTTTATGCAGAACTTCAAATAAAGAAGGACCTGAATTAAGAAAACAGGAACCAACACACTGAGTGCTTAAAATTTGATTTTAAGACTTACAGAAACAAATGGATTTGGAATTTGTTTAACCAGATGATTATGCAAGGAAAAAACAAACAAACCATAACAAAACATCTGCCCACACAGATTAGGAATAACATATTTGCATTATTATCCTGTCTCTAATCTATTGACCAACAATGATATCCAGGCTTGGAAGAAATTTTGACAGTCAGGTTTTCCCCAAAAGAATAGCTTTTCAGAGGGAGTGATTTAAAAGTCCAGGGAACATATCTGAAATACAATCCTTACTTTCTCATGGGGAGCTGAGCGTTCAGTAGGGACTTCCACCAAGTTTCCATCATTCTAGGATCAAACCCAAGTCAACAGGTATTTAATACTTTAAAGAAAGGAGCAAAATCTGGGTATATTTTGTGAGAAAGTTAAAGCCTAAAAGCACACTATTCACTAATTTAATTAACTATGGAAAGTCAGTACATACTGCTCATATGCAATTACATTATGAAAATAACTATTCATACCTTTTCGCTGTTTCCAAAAGGACCAGCAGCAACTTCAACCATTATACTTGCCCCGTTCTGAAAATTAAGTTTATTTTTCATATTGGATATAAGGGATACAGCACAACTTTCATGTCATACATACAGAAGCTGCTTTTGCCTCAGCAGACTGTAATCATCTTACAATGTACAGATATACACAAGATTTTCTTTACTATATATTAAATGGCATGTATGTTTATAATACAAGTGGAAAAGTCCATAAAATCAGCACAATCTAGGCTCATAAAGAGGGACTTGAAAGCACTCGTGGGGACACTATCAAAAGCAAGCCTAATGGCCAACTACAGCAATTACCACATTGAATCTGAATACAAGGTGGGAGGTAATGCACATACATATAGAAGGGTGTTTGTGCCCAAAAGCTTGCAAAGAATTTTTCTAACTATTTAGCTGGTCTAATAAGAGATATCACATTTACCCAAAGAACCTTGTCAGCACACAGACAAAGCACTTACATTCTTATTTAATTTTAGGATAAGGGAGATTAAAACATTATCATAATACTAACTTTTATGCACCATTTATTATGGGTTCTCACTAGAGTTAATAGGGAACACCAGATAAGCTTGCTCAAACATAGGAGTTGATGTGGAACTACCCTCTAAATAGACAAGGCCTAAGCGGATACACTCTTCGGAGGAAGAGAATCAGAATATCTGGGACAGAAATTATGACTAGATTAAACATATCCATATTAATGCACTAAGTACAAAACTACTTTGCTCAGCATTACTTGCTAACAAGTGTGCATACCACAAAATATTCAAGACCTACCTTGGTGATGAATGGCGTTATGAAGACAAAAAATACGTCATATAAAAGAAGAAGGCCTAGAAGTATCACACATGACTGGCAAACAAAGAAGGAAATGTTAAACCAAAACTTTCAAAGAGTATCTAAATTAGATTATAATTACCATTACTACACCAACATTTAAAAAAATAATGCTCCAAAATGACCTTTAGCATGGAGTCATAAAGAGAGCGCTAAACACAATCTTTTTATTTCCTATTCTATTTATATAGAAAAAACTCTCCCCCCTTGCCAGTTTTTAATATTTCTAAACAACAAGAATAATTTTCAAGGTATTACACATTTACATCTTGTCACTTAACATTTCTACATGCAGGTCATCAATAGGTTTTATTTAGTAAACAACTTACTTTACCTTAAAGTTAGGCATTTTCAGTGTTTTAATGAAGTTTAGGCAGAAAGCAACTCCCAAGATATCTTGCAAAATCCAAGCCCACCTGAAAATAAGAGGTAAGCTTTACACATTTTGTTTTCCCATATTTTTATAACGCTGGAAGTTTGTCGTCTTGCTGGAAAAAAAGAGTACCCACTATATTCTTACCCTTACAGAAAGATACTGCATCTGTCACGGTAGTTTATTTTTATCCTGACTTATGACCGATGCTCATAAAAGAAGTACTGTTAACCTCAAAACATCATTTCACTTAGAAACGATTCATCTGCTACTATTACAAGTAATATTCAAGAGTAAAATTAAAGGTCAGTAGGAATCAGTTTCACTGTTTTCCAAGTATAAATAATTTCACACACGAGTGGGATGCTCTTGCCCCGTTGACTTCAGTGGAAGTTTACCAGGCTGCAGTAATTTACCCATACACACAATGTTTCATGATTGAACCCTTAAGCTGAGTCTACATTATAATCTTTTGCCAATATGGCTAAAGTGAGTTGGGAATGGAAAGATACATGATCCCTCCCTCATAAAGCTGTGGTAGCATGTGCCCAATGCAGATGCAGGTCATACTAGCTAAAGCACAGTTTGCTGGGACAGCTTATCTCAGCCTCCCTGGCCAAAATAAGCAATCTGGCATAGGATTGAAGCTCTTGCTGCTACTGTACGCTGGCACACAGATATACCAGCAAACCGTTCATTGCTTTGATTTCCTATTTGTATGCATCTTTCATACAGGAAAGAAAGAGAAAATTGAATATCATTAAACCACAAAATCAGCACAACGAAATCAAGGACTGGAACACCAATTTAAAAAGCTTCAAAGCTGATTTTTAAAGTGTGACTAGATTTCAAATGGACTGGCCATCTAAGGGCATATGGCTGAAATCATTTTAAATTGAGGGTGCCTGGTACCCTTCCAGAAGCCCTCAGCACCCTGAAGGCTAATTTTCCATTTTGGGGACACATGTGAAATACATTTCTTGACTGCTAATGACTGCGATCTCTTCTTGCACACCTCTTACTACAGGGGCGGGCAATTATTTTGGGCGGAGGGCCACTTACGCAGTTTTGGCAGGCTGTCGAGGGCTGCATGGGTAGCCCCGCGCCTTGACAGGAGCCCTGCTCCCTGGCCACCATCTTGGGACCAATGTCCAACGGCCAGCACCGGTGGGGCCCAAAGCAGGGTGCAGGATGGCAGGGGTCTGTGGAGCCAGGCTGGGCTGCTCCAGCAGGAAGTGGGGGGAGCTGGCCTAGCTCCATAGAGCCCCTGCCAGCTGGGACCCTGTGCTTCTGCCACCCTGCTCTGGGCCCCCCCAGCACTGGCCCTGGGACATCTTCCCTGCATTTAACACCAGCTTGTAACCCGCCCTGGAGCTCACGTACTGGGCAGCCCACAGGCAGTGGTGGCAAATACTGCCCAGCATGGCAGACGGGCGGTGGGTGGGGGGAG